CCTACTTCTAACCAGCCATCTATTCAACATACTCAATCTCCTATTTCTCAATCACTCCAAGCCTCAGCTCATCAATCCCTCAACACACATTCTGTCTCCATATCTTCAACCAAGATGCAAGCCCAACAAGTTGAAAATATACTCACACAACTATCAGTCTCTAACCTTCTTCCAACCTTACTAATACAAACCTCGCATACAGATTCCTCTGTATCTACTTCTCAATCTACCTACTTCTCTATTGCCCAAAAAACTAATAAACCATTAAACTCTACCTCAAACCCTCAAATTCAAGCCCAAATTCAAACTCAACCTTCTTTCTACTCCTCTGTCCTCCAAAATAAACTATCTCAAACTAACCCTACCTCTATCAAGCAACCTCAAATTAATCCAAAACAAAACCCTTCATTTGACTGGCTTTACAACTTTCCTATATCAGATAACATGAAACCTCATACCAAACTCCAAACTAATTTCTCTTTTCAACTTTTTACTTTTCTCAAACAACACCTCCATAATTTCTACCCTGGTAACATTCTCAAAGCTGCTATACCTAATAACTCCCAACTCCTTAAAGCTAGCTTCTACCATATCATCCGTGTTATGGCCGGAGAGCGCTCCGAATTCCTAATTCAATATATATATTAAATTAACACATCCATTAACCCTAAAGCTTCAATTCCATTCCACATTCTCGAAGACACTTTCAAAAAAATCCTTCATAAGTTTACCACTATCCTCTTTACTAGACTTAACTATGCAGAAATCTTTATATCTCCTGCTACTATCCCTCCTTACAAAACTAAAAACTGGCTGCAATTTTGTCTCAATCTGGCCCATCTATACTTGTACCTTTCCAAAAACTACCAAGCCATCAACTACAACAAATTTGCTGAAGTTTTTAACTTCCGTCCTAAGAACTTCAAACTTACCTCATCTGTTATTTCCTTCAACAAAAAAGACAAATTTCTTACCATTAAATCTGATAGCAGATTCAATATACAACTCTTGTTCAACATCTCCAAAACTCTCTTTCTTCAATAATTCTCCATCCCCTCACTTCAAAACTCCCTTGAACACTTTAAAACATGGTTTGAAAAAGTCTTTTCTGCCTATAGTAAACAATTTATCACTACCCCCAACAAAGATAATACTGAAAACTTTTTAAAATTCCAAATTCGCAAGCAATTTGTTTTCTAACTAAAACACCTTCTTCCTACTCAAATTCTCTTTCTCAAACCCTATAATTTTCAGGACAAACGAAATGAATGCTTTTGCCACCTTAATTTTCATCTTCTCACATGCAAACATACTAATTGCCTCTATGTTTTTAACTATAAGCATGATACTTCTACACTCTTCAAAGCTATTTTTGAAGACTCATTTAAAACCTATCCTAAGGAAGAGCTAACTATACATGACCTCCACATTAATTCCTTTGTCTTCTTCGTGGATCAAAAATATCAAGCTATATTCTACCAGCCCATTCCTACCTCTACTCTTAACGAACTAGCTGACTTTACTGAATAATCCTTCTGCAAAGATAACTCAGCTCCTACTTTAGCAGGCAGATGCAATATCTTTCTTTATAAATACTTCATTGCCTATCATGAAATCGCTGCCCAAAACCACAATATTGATTAACTCTCTAAAGAACAGACCATATCTCTTCTTACACAAGACCTTATTGAAATTGATTTCCTTGCTTGTGTCATTACTTACTTTGATATTGTTAAAAATAAACAACCTTCACTCTCCTCAGTCTCCAAATACTACAAGGACAAAGCCTACTCTGAAGCAGAAAAAATCCTTGCTACCAAATTTAATCTCAATTTCATTGTTCCTTCCAATATTGATGACTCACTTTTCCTCTTTAAACCTTCAACTTCTACTTCCTCTATCAACCCTACACCCCTAGCTACTATTAACTCCGAAGCTAGTATAACTAAACCCTCCCTTACCACACCTCTACCCAATAACTCTAATACTCCCAGCAACTCCAATCCAAACTCCTCTTCTTCTTCCCCCCCACTGTACAACCCAAACCCTTTATCCCAACCTCTTTTCACTAAACCTGTCTTCTGCAACTCCTATAAATGCAGCCACCACCTTATTAAAAGAGGCATCCATAGCATTTAATAAGGAAAATGATACAAGTAGGCAGGTAGATAAGCTTACTTACTCAGAAAAGCTAGATAATGACAGTACTCTAACGTCTAATCTGAGTACCTCTAACTCTTGCGGAACCGTGAGAGCCGGGTATATGGTAAGCAATACTGTAGAAGACAACTCCAAAATCCCTCTTATAACTTTCAACCCATCTATTTGCTTTAATTGCTTTCTCTTAGCACATAACAGTCCTCCAATTCAATCTCCTCAAACTTTCAACTCCTTTCTTTTACATCTAGCATGCATAGGACTATAGAATGAAGTTCAAGATCAGATAGTCATATCTATTAAACTGGACTGTAGTGAAGCACATATTTATCTATCTAACGAACCCTGCCCTTTACCAGACCATGTTATTATACCCTACCTAGAGCTTATAACCCAATTTCCTTTCATTCCCCTTAAATCCTTTCATACATACAACACCCCAACTCCCAACCCACTTTACTCTTCCCTTAATCTTTCAATTTGTACTCACAATATTCATGGCTATAACCAAAAACTAAAACAACAAGTCTGAGAAGAATACTGTCTTACCTAAAACCTAGATATTATTGGTCTAATCGAAACCAAACTTGCTTTCAATCCGTTTTACTCCAAACCCTACTCCACCCCCTCATATACCTATTACTGGTCATGTGTAATAGTTCTAAAGCTAGCACTGCTATTATAATCCACAATCACCTTATCCCTCACATCCACAACATAACTACTCACCCTGGATATACTATGTTTATTTACCTTTTCTTCAAACATGATTTTAAATTCTGTATTATCTCAACTTACCTACCTTGTAACAACTCTTACACCAAACTGCATACTCAAAACCTCATAATTCAATAGATCCAACAAGCAATCTCTTCTAACCTGCTCCCTATTGTACTTGGTGATTTTAACGCCTCTATAAACTCAACCCTCTCTTCCTTTATTAAATTTAAACTTCTCCAATTTCTTACTTTTAACAACATGTACAATCTGGCTACCCACACTTTCTCTTCCACTCTTACTTGGCAAAGTTCAAAATTTAGTAGTGAAATTGACTTTATTTAGAGCTACTATACAATTCTTACCTATCTAACCTCATTCGAAACTGATGACACTAATACCAATTCCCTTAGTGATCACAAAATTCTTATCTCACGATGGTCTTTTCCTTATACTCTACTAGGACAACGTAGATATAAAACCCGTACATATCACAGAATCTTTAATTACAAAGTTATAAATTCTTCTAAATGGAAAGAGTTCACCAACCAAGTTCATACAATCTCACATCTCACTCTACTTCTCTCTCCATACACACTGATAAATCTATTGAATCTACTTGGCACAAAATCCAATCTAGCATTATCTCAGCTGCCCTTAAACATATCCCCAACAAGAGATTTACTGTTCGTAATTTTCAACATGTATTCTCCTCTAAAGCATCTATGCTGCATAGTAATCTTAAAAAACTTGGCAATATTATTCGCCACATTAAACATTCTCTCCATTCAAACACTTCTATCCCTTTATATTTTATCTCTACTATTTCCTCACTCAACCATTCTCTTAACCTTCAAATCCCACTTATTCCTAACTCTTACTCTCTTTTCCCTTCTTGGATTCTTCAAGCCAATAAAAAATAGAAAAATATCTTAACGCCCGTAATATTGAAAACATCAAAGAAATTAGACAACAAATTAATGATTCTATCCATAAAAGATGTACCAAACTCCA